TGCTCGCGGACACGGTCCGAGACATGTCGTTTCGTTTCCCCGATGTAACTGCTGCCGCAGGTAAAACTCGGTTTGTAAACTCCAGGATATTGCATGTCAGGAATGACATCACCAGTGATAGCGAATGTTTTCATGGAGAAATTTGAAACAGATGCCATCCAGACATCCACCGTACGTCCTTCTTTGTGGAAGCACAGAAAAAATCCCTTATCAAAACACTACACCATAGGGCCCACTGCATTTCCGACCAATACCACCTAGCCAGTGAACTGGAACACGTACACCAGGCCATTGACTTTCTCTGTCCCACCCCCTCCTCTCTATATAATGCCTCGCCACAGAGGCGTTGTTCTGTGTGTCTCTCTCTTTGTGTGTGTGTCTCTCTCCGTGTCTGTGTTTTGTCTCTCTCTTTGTATGTGTGTCTCTCTCCGAGCTTGCATTCTTTCACACCTAATGACGGTTGCTTGTGTTGCAATCGAAACGTCGTGTATTCTATTATTTATTTTACTTTCTACGTGACTTTACCGAAAGAACCAAAGAGTATACCTAATTTATAGTGGCTCGGCTAAAAGGAAAGGGTAATTTGTGTCTGGATGGGAGGCGTTGTGAACGAGCACTCAACTCATAAATGGAATGTCTCGAATCTCAAACCTCAGTCGACAATCGGCTCAATAATAAAGTTCCATTTTGTCAGATATCAGCAGTCGTTGCTCTGCAGAGGAAGAGACCGAACCCCAACATAGGTAATATGCAACGGCTGAGGGATATCAGAAGAAATGAACAGTGCCGGATGCTCATTAGAGCAGGAAGCTAATATTTTGTATGAACCTTTTTTTGTTCTTTTGCATGCGAGGGAAACTCCACGCATAACAACGAAGGGGGTAAGTAACACTCAAAGTCTATCTCAACGGACCGAAAGGAACCAACTTGAGCTACTGCCTCCGACACGTGCCCCATTATTATCCCAATGCCGGTGTCTCACAACGCTTACATTTATGTGCGATCCACCAACAACCACCTACAAGCCACACTGAAAGAGTGAACCACTCACTCGTCTGAACAGATGGTGGGAGCAGTGGAAGAGTCGTTGGTAATATACAGCCTTAGCAGTCACCTAAATGGCTCAATTACCTAATTTACAGGAAGTCCAGACAACTTAACTTTACTTTAGTCGGTCTAGGGGTTGTACCAGAATGTAAAAAAAAAGTTTCCTCTGCACAACGTTTTGCACATGCTGGACAAATTACACACCGCACAAAAAAAAACCCTTGGGCACAAACGATAAAAGAGAAATACAATAAAAGCAGCAATTTCATGAAACTCACAATTTCAAAATCCGCCGCATATTCCTCAAGGAAGTGTTACTGGGATTGGACAAAACCGCGTTCAATGTGATATTTATTCTGTTCACATATTGACTGCAGTTCCTAAAATGGAAGGAAAGTGCACTGCATTCCTTTAGGCGCAGCCTTGGCCTGTAAGCCTGTGCCATTCACCAGTGAACGTTCCGTGAAACGTGAGCTTTAGGCCACGAGCAAGCATACTCGATCCATATTTTGAGGGAAGTACGGTACATTTATAACGTGTTATCTTTAACTTTATATATTTATTTCATCAACCAAAATACTAATTGAACACGGGGAGCACTTCCACGGGCGACGCTGATTCGCTCCCCACGTTCACGATAAATACCAAGTAAACAACAACAGCGCACTTCCCTGGCGTGATAAACACGCCTCTTATTATCACACCCGCACACAGCGCCAACAAAAATGCGTTTCATTTTTACGTGACATGCTGACAAACGCCTTTCGTCATTATGTTTGCGTCGAGAGTGACAACGAGCCCATTTTATGCCAAAATTGGTCGTGGAAGTTGCGTTGTCCCCAACGTGTTAATTCAGCGCTGTGAATTAAATACATCTCACGACGTATCGCTGCGGCAATCGAGGCCAGATGCATTCGGCAACAAAGGAAAGAGCACGTAAAAACCAAGTCACGAGCAGCAGTGCTCTATCGACTGCTGGATGTAAGCCTTCCCCATCCCCCGCCCCACCCCAAGTCGTTACCATTCCTCACGGAGTCTTGAGATGCAACTTTACACGGAGCTTCCGCACATGCGCCCATTCATCCTTTTGGGCATGTTGCCATGCTTTGGCTGCGACTCCATTGTTAGAGTCTCGACCATCAACTCCCATGTAGCAAGCGATGTGTCCTGCCCAAAGTCACTCGCTTTAAGTAACATGTTTAAAATAACACAGTGGCGGCCTGGTATGGATATCTAATCAATATGCTCATGAAGTCACATCACTCGGTGGAGTGGGGGTGGGGGAGCATTACGGAATACAATGAGGTCAAAGTGATACACCAATTGGTGCTGGAACACAGGCATGTGCCACCACACCTGGCAAATCTGCACGTTTCGCCTCCGATTAGGACGATTGGCTACGTACGGTGCGAAAGAAGTTCAACATCCATACATTAAAGCACCTTCGCTAGGACACAGCACCCTGCCTGCAACTTGCAGCCTGCATGATAAGCGGGCGTAAAATCGAAACGCCTTATGGTTTTATACTGCAGCATGTACAAACGTTGGGCTAAATGTTAACTCTCTCTATCTCGCCTTGCATGGAGCAGGTTGTGGGTTCGATCCCGACCCTGACGCCTGCATAATTTTAGCGTGCATGTTCTCTCCGTGGCCACATTGATTTTTCTTCGTTTCCTCCGGTTATTCCCTCCACATTTAAAAAAAAACGCGTGATAAGCCACTTGGTCGAGCTGTCATTTGTGAAAGCCAGGTCACTTCTGAAGAAGAGATATAAACGGCTCAGCGGGGGCCGTACATGCTAAAATAAAATAAACACTTTAGTCGTTCAGTTTAACACAGTGCCAGACAAGCTACTGTCTGTGAGGCTGGGCAATCCCGAGGCGACCGTCTTGAGACCTCCTCGATGGCGAGCGTGAGCGGCAAAGGCGAACGTGTAGCCGGGCTACGCTCGTGCGCTGCGAACGACCGCCAACCGTTTCCCTTCTCCGAGCAGCTGATTAAGGTCTGCTTCCAACACCGCCCACCTCCCCCCCACCACCCCCCACCAACAAAGACAAAGATCCCCTCCCCCCACATAGCCTTCACAGACTGCTGAGGCAAGTGCGGGTAGCGAGTAGCACATATGAAGGCCGGCACAGCACATGAGGCCGAGTCGACCTAGGCGAGGACCAGGACCAATTAAGATCATCGTCACCGGCGTTGGTGGCCGTGAGCGGGAGAATCGAACTCCGGTCGCCGGGATCGTAGCACAGCGCTCGAACCGTTGCACCACCGCCCCCCCCCCGCCTATCCCGCGCCACCCCCGGCCCCACCCTAGCATTTCACCCCACTGCAGGAGCAATGTGAAAGGCAATTATAATCGGGTGACAGTCGCGCACGGGACAGAGGTTAAATTTGGCCCCTGGGTATAAATTACTGCGCTTGCTTCTGCTGCCGCCGTCAGGAAAGAGAAGTACCAGCAGAGGAGGCTGCGGTAACAAGGACCGCGTCACGCGAGAAGTTGGGGCCAAGCTCTGGTGGCTTTGCATTCGTCTGTGCGTGTGTCCATGTGTGTGTCTTTGTGTTCGTCTGTGTGTGTGTCCATGGGCGTGTCTTTGTGTTCGTCTGTGTGTGTGTCCATGGGCGTGTCTTTGTGTTCGTCTGTGTGTGTGTCCATGGGCGTGTCTTTGTGTTCGTCTGTGTGTGTGTCCATGGGCGTGTCTTTGTGTTCGTCTGTGTGTGTGTCTTTGGCTTTGTGTCCGTCTGTGTGTGTGTCCATGCGTGTCTTTGTGTCCGTCTGTGTGTGTGTCTTTGGCTTTGTGTCCGTCTGTGTGTGTGTCCATGGGCGTGTCTTTGTGTCCGTCTGTGTGTGTGTCTTTGGCTTTGTGTCCGTCTGTGTGTGTGTCCATGCGTGTCTTTGCGTCCGTCTGTGTGTGTGTGGCAACGGTGGCGCAGTGGTTAACGCATTGCGCTATCGTCTTGCCGGGAGTTCAATTCCCGCTCGCGGCCAATGCTAGTGATGATTATCTGAACCAGTCCTGGGCGTCCGCTAGGTCAACTCAGCATGGAATGAGCACCTGGTGCGATGTTTAAACATCGCCACTGGGGACACAAAGGCGTGGTGCTGGCCACCCACCCCTTCGTGTGCCGTGCCGGCCTTCATAGGTGCTACTCGCTAACAGCACTTGCCCCAACAGTCTGTTCGGGTAATACGGGGGGTCCTTGCATACGGTACAGGGTTGGTGGCATCGCAGAGAGCACAGTGCACTACAACATAACGAATCTGCGTTAAAATTCCTGGCAAAAACACATCACAAGCACAGTGGCAACTGTGATCTAACCCTGGCTTGGGAATATCCTAGGGTGACTCGGCATTAAATTGACTGCTTCATTTAGCTACGTGATTTTTGCGAACACCAGTACTGGTAACAGAGGTGGATGGTCATGGTATTATAAACACAATTCTCTTACATGCTCCACGCTGCCCTTTATAGATGCTCGCGAACAACACTTGCCCCTGTGCGAGGTTGAATTGGGCATCTTTGTGTTTTGTGCGTTGAGAAAATACAACACCTCCAACTGGACGGTAAATATTGCTAAATCGTGCAACGCTCTCTTTTTCTTCGTGTGGGGGAATGCAAAATGGGGGGGGGGGGGGGGGGGGTCAAAGAGGGAATTGGAAATAGGCGAGAGGGAGGAAAAGTGAGCGCTGAGAGCTGACAGAGTTTAGAGAGAGAGACAGGGAGGATGGGGGAGAGGCGTGGGTGCAGGAGGGGATGAGAATAGGCGAAGGCATGCATCACGGGTAGTGTGTGTGTGGGGGGGGGGGGGGCAGCGTGGGAAACATTGGCACGGTGAATCAGGACGGAAATTGGTGGGTTGGGACTTTGAGAGTGGCCGCGGGGTTCCCGGCGAGGTTGGGAGTGAGTGACAAAAAGTGGCAGCGGTGGCTGCAAACGGTGCAACTCTCTTACCGTGTAGATGATGAGGCACAGCATTCCGGCCAGCGTCAAGGTGCTTATGGAAAAGGCCAACGCGTCCACACCATCTGCGATTAGCAAACGGATGCACGCACGCACAGTCACACAGTCGCACGGGTGTGCATACACACAGAGAAAACGAACACAAATGCTTCCGTGAGCGATCTAAATGGGTACACGGGACACATTCACACAGGTCTAAACACGCAGACACAATAAACAGATTGCCAATACACAGAGTAACCACGTGAGCAGACACACGCATGCACACAAGGATATATACACGGACACACGCACTGAAGCAGACACATATACAGGTATACCCATAAATACATATTTACATAAGTACACTAAAGATACGATCACAGAGACCTGCATAAACACAAACAAAAATACAAATGCAGACACACATGCATAGCTATCAGATGCACCGCCATATATGCACACAAACACACATTCCGTACTCGCAAATAATATATGTTTAAAATAATGAATGTATGGACCATTGTGTATGAGAAGAGTAGCATTATATGTAATTTACAAAGTGAAACAAGCTGAAATGGAGATGGGATAGGGCACCGAGCTAGAACACCACGTGACAGGTTGGCAAAATGAACAACGCAGCAGAGGCTCGTGGGAGGTGAATGAGATGGCGCGAGGAGGAGGAGGAGATGATTTGGAGGGCACTGGATGGAAGTGGGCAGAGTTTGTGAAGAGTGGGAGACGTTGGAGGGGAGGCCCTTTGGCCACGAAAGAGATGTTAACGGCCAAGCAAGAAATGAAACTTCTCTCCGAGATCTCTTCTGCTGCTAAATAAGGGTGAATTACTGCCACTGCTGTTCATCTGACGGGCGATGCCGTGGCTCGGAGTTAGACGTGCCAAGAAGGTTAAGAGTTCAACATCCTGGTCCAAGGTTGACGCAGAATATCGTCGTTCCTCCAGAGCCAATAATAAAGCACAGCATTTAACCTTATGAATTCACATTAACATGCATACACGCAACCATTCAGTTGTACAAATGTGCAACGCAAACGCATCAACACAAGCGCCTACGCACACGTGCGTAATTATTGCATGGGTATAAGGTGTCATCTGTCTCTGTTGCTCAAGCAACCACAATGTTACGGGATGGAATTGTATCCGCTAATTGAATAACCTGATGAGAAACATTGCCAAGGAATGCTAGTCGGTTCATTTAAGTTCATTTTTAATATAAATTTAAAATCTCAGCTCTGCGAACTGCGCACGCACACGCATGCACACACACAGCCAAAGAATCCCGTATAGCCTCATAGACTGCTGTGGCAAATGCTGTAAATGAGCACCTACTAATGCTAGCAAGGCACATGAGCAGGTGGGTGTGGTCAGTACTACACCAGAGCTGACTATTTATTTCCCATGCTAGGTATGAATTTAAGGTGAAGTTAACCTAGGGGAAGGCCAGTAGAGGTTTAGATAGCATTTGCCACCGATGTCATCCATGGCAAAGAATCAAACCCGGGCCACTAGAATCATAACAGATTGTACGAACCACTGCACTTCCACACAAAGACAACGACCGCCCTGGGCGTTAGCCATATAGCCTGTGGGGGCAAGGCCCAATAGAGTGTACCTATATTCTTGGTTCTTTCGGTAAAGTCACGTAGAAGGGAAACAATAAAATAATAACGTGACTTTACCGAAAGAACCAAGAATATGAATCCCTGCAGTCACGAAAGCTTTAAATCAAAATAGAGTGTACCTATTAAGGCCGGCATGGCAAATGCGAAGGTTGTATGGCCATAACCACAGTGTTTAAAGATCGCTCCAGTGCTGATGTTTATACACTGTGCCAAGTACTTGTTTAAGGTGGCGGAGTCAATCCAGGCCAAGCCTACTGATTTTAAGACATAGCCGGGAATGGAACTCGGTCCGCAGGGTTTGTAGCACAGCACGCAAACCAAGCGACACAACTGAAGTCAGTCACCATTCCAGGCTCTTCTCCTGCACAGGAAAAACCATAACAAACGAACTGGTAAACCTCAACATTCATAATTAAATATGTGCACCTCACTTTTAATCACCTAATGACACTAATTGGAAACTATCCGCATAGCTGGTAAGTCATATTAATTAGGAATCGTAAAGGTTATTTCTGTCTAGATAGAAATATGCACAATTATAATTTATTTTTATTATACAGAAACAAGGCGATACGAGTGAACCAACATATTATTTGCATCCTTGAACAAGCGGCAGAAATTCCACATTCCCACGGTGGGGCAGGGGAGAATTTAAAAGATAATTATCAATGTTGATTGATTGACTGCAAAGTGGTACCAATTTTATCCACCCCAAAGGAATCATAGGCCAAGTCAGTAACTGACTGGGACATCGTGACATCCCGATAGTGAACACCTCTTATAAGTTTGCAGTAAATACAACACAAGTATGAAGATAGAGTACAGATGAGGAGGCATGTGCTCTCCATTTTAGAATCAGGAAATGTTGGAAAAAAAATCAGGCTGAGCTACGTAATTTTGAACGATTCCAGACGTTTTTTTATTGTTTCGGATTGACTCGTAAACCAAAAGCAAACGTTACTTTCTCAGATTTTCCCCGCAAAAAAGTGGCCGCGTGTGGCATCGGTTTAGGTCGCTATCGTCAGCACGAGGGCATCCGCCTTGGCACGTCACACGGAAGTGACTTGGAACGTCTGTGCAAAGATCTTAAATTGTCCCCTAAAAATAAAAATCGGACAATTTGTTGGATACAAAACTCATCCCGTGCATGTATGAATTATAAGCAGGAATTGTAAAAAAAGAAAAAGGTGACGCTGGTCTGCAGATATACGCATACAAACACAAATTTGCACACCTATTCATGTTTTGACAAGTAATTTGTAACACTCGCTAAGCAAATAAACAAAGACAAAGATCCCCCGTATAGCCTTAACAGACTGTTGGGGTAAGTGCTGTTAGCGAGCACCTATGAAGGCCGGCACGGAACACGAGGGGGTGGGTGACCAGCACCACGCCCGGCCGCCTTTGTCTCCCTAGTGGTGATGTTCGTACACCGTACTCATTTGAGGCTGAGTCGACCTAGGGGAGGCCCATGACCGGTTTAAATAATCGTCACCGGTTCTGGCCGTGAGCGAAAATCGAACTCAGGTCGCCAGGTTCGTAGCACAGCGTAGCGCTAACTGCTACACTGCCGCTCCCACTCGCTATGCATACACACAAAGATCCCCCGTGTAGCCTTAACAGACTGTAGGGGCAAGTGCTGTTAGCGAGCACCTATGAAGGCCGGAACGGTACACGAGGGGGTGGGTGGCCAGCATCACGCCCAACCGCCTTTGTCTCCCCAGTGGCGATGTTTACACACCGCACCAGGTACTCATTTGAGGCTGAGTCGACCTAGGGGAGGCACGGGACCGGTTCAGATAATCGTCACTGGTGTTGGCCGTGAGCGGGAATCGAACCCGGGTCGCCAGGTTCATAGCGCAGCGCGCTAACCGCTACACTACCGCTCTGTGTGTGTGTGTGCATACACACACACACAGGGTGACACATTGTTTGAGACGCTGCATATTCACTCTGACAAACATCAGCAGTTTACGACGCATCACATACACACAGTCGGTATTCTTCTTGTTAAAAGATTGCAACAGGAAACCACGCGTGTTTCAACATGCGTGTTATATACCATCACCATTATCATCATCATCATCTCTATGGACATCACCATGTGGATAGAGTGCACGTGGTGAGGATATGGATGTGTTTTATTCTGTTTGAATCACTGTATGCAGCAGCTGGTCTTCGGAATGAGCTGTTAGTTTTAAATGAATGTTGAGGCAATCCCCGGATTACGGAAGGCCTGACTTTACAGAAAATCGTGTTAAAAAAAAAAGTAATTCAACACGCGGAAATGTTTGCGGTGGTTAGGCAAGCGCCGCGAGGTCGTTGATGAATACCGGGAAAACGCCGCCTTCACCGAGCCCGAGCCTCACGAGGACCATGCTCAATGGAATTTGTTGTGGTGTGACGTAATTCTTTTAATTCTCTAGCACACAGTACTGATAGAGTACCGAGGTACAACGAACTAGCAATCGGGTAGGGGAGGCACAACTATTTCCGGCCGTGGGATTTAATTGTTGATTTTGGGGGGCAAATTGTTCAGTTTCCGACATGCGGAAAATTCGGGTTACGGTTCTTCGGGAACCCAACCCTTCCGTAACCCGGGGGGACTGCCTGTGTGTTGAACCTCTTTCGCACAGTACGTAGCCAACCGTGCTAATCGAGAGGTCTACAACACAGGAAACCCAACTGACACCGAGGACAGAGACCCGCCAAAGTGGACGTGCCGTCGGTCCAGCCGCGTTGACCGACTTCCTCGACTTCCTTGTCCCCCGGGATCGAGCCCAGGTCAAAGTGTGTCTCTGCTCAAACGAGCCCTGGGGGGGGAGGGGGTGGAGACGCTCGTCTCTGTCGTCAGCCATCTGGCGGTATGGTGAAGATTCCATAATTCCCGTGCGCTAAAAGGTCAGTTCGTGAGAGAAAAAAAAAATACGCCCAAACACTGCTGTCCCCGGAGGAATTATGGGCAAAGTTCACACCCCGGGTTGTCAGTCAAATCCTCTCACCACTGTGCCACCTGGCCAGGTTACCCGGAGGATTAAGGATGCTTTAATTCCACTCGTAAAATAGCGGCACTTTTTAAGCAATAACATTTTGGCTTGAGGAATCGTGATTGTGTGCGTGTGTGTGTCTGTTTGTATGTCCGTCTGTTAAGGCTATCGGGGGGATCTTTGTCTTTGCATGTCCATGAGGGGTGGTAGCACGCTCGCGCTACAAGCCTGGCGACCCCAGTGACGATTATCTGAATCGGTCCTGGGCCTCCCCTAGGTCGACTCAGCCTTAAATGAGTACCTGGTGCGATGTGTATACTTCGCAATGAGGGAGACAAAGGCAGCCAGGCGTGGTGCTGACCACCCACCCCTTTGTGTGCCATGCCGGCCTTCATTGGTGCTCGCTAACAGCATTTGGCTGAACAATTTGTGAAGGCGATACGGGGGATATTTGCCTT